CGCTTTGGACATTATCCTTTTTTATTTCTATATAGTCTATATTATACAATATTATACTTGCATTATTCGTATTGTATTTAAAAAGGCTATTATTAACTTCATCCATCAGTCTTGATATTATCATTCGTATAATTTGCAAATGCTATACATTTTGATAGTACAAAAACAAGTTGTTTTAAAATATATTATTATGTTAACTTTTTCGGTGACAAATAAAATTTCCAAGTACCTAGTTAAAACATAGTTACAATATACCTACCTACCTCTATAACAGTACCTATAATATACGTTATTAATATTATCATTTTAATTCACTGTGTAGGAGTACACAAAATATTGCTACTGTATAAGAATACCACATTGAAGTATATAGTATAGATAAAGGCACTTAAAATATCAGATATAGTATAGGTTGGTACAGTAGACCTGTAACATGTATAATATTGTTGTAATACAAACAAAATCTCCCTGTTTTAAATTAACTAACAATTATACCATCATATTAGTTTAAAACATTGTACCTACTACCTACGTCCTACTCACTATAACACAATGAAATGCTTTAAAATATGTGTATCATTCGTTATTTAAATATTATAACATTATTTATTTTTAAACGCATAATGTTCATACATTTTTCAATATACTTCAAAATAATTTCTCTGTAAGATATTTATTATAATACATGTACACATTAAACATAAAACAATAATATTTTTTAGTTATTAGTTCTTAATGATTAACTTTAAGAATTTTCATGTATAATTATAAATTTGTTTTTCTTTCAATAGCTAACAGGATATTTTTATTGGTGGAATTTGTATTCATAATACTTACTAGTTGGTAAGTCTAGACGTCTGGATGAATACATGCTAAAATAATTATGCTATATTTTTATTTAAATCGTATTTCTGAACCATCGCGAATGTTCTATGAAACAGTTTTTTATTTTTATTGCACCAGGATCTGTGAACATACTTCAACTCAGTAATTGTATTGAAAAAACGTTTACAGATAATATAGGTACCTATATAAAAGTTAAGGATATTGATACTTAGTTAAATGTATATTTTAGATATTTATTTAAATTTCTAAAACTACCTACTTACAAATATTTATGAAAAATCTAAAAACATTAGATGCAATGTATTAATTTTTTATTAATTGTTTTAGCTCATCTTCTTATCTACATTGCATAAAAGAAAACAATATTATTGAATTATATATACCTATTAAATTGTATTTACTAGGTACTTGATATGTGGTTATTATACTTTAATACTTACATATTACTATATTAGTGATGGTCATTGGTCAAAGTCATTGTTTCATGCCAGAGTATAGCTGTAAAGGTTATTTTATATTTCTTTAATAGGTAGGTACCTACTTTTATAATAAGTATTATCAAGTACCATTGATCATATTATGTAGTATACTATCTATAATAAATGGCATAACGTTTTATTATTCTATATAATATGTTTAATAAGAATATCATTTTAATAAGACAATTATATCAATTTATAATATAGATATTCAGTAGGTAATACAGGTAAGTATTATAATGGACGTGTGGTTAATTTTATTTTAGGTGTAATATTTAAAAACTAATTCAATTTTTTTACCTAGATACACCTAGTTCTTATTTCAGTATTTCTGTTTCAGCGAGTATATTTATAAAATAAAAGTTCCTATATAAAGCAAACAGTAGGTAGTGCGATTTCTGCATTCAAACAACTTGTAAAGTAAAAATATTCACACAAAATATTGCATTAGCACCAATGTATAAAAAATAATATCAAATTAATTATTATATCTTATTTATTTAAATAAAATATTTTTAAAGTACTGGATATTTATATTTATATATTTCTAATAGGGTATGATATTTGCATACAAATAAATAATAATAAAATATATATGTTTTCCTGTTTTCAAATCCTTTAGGGTTGGATTTTATATTAACGGTAAAAATTATTATGAACGTTATATATTGGTATATTTTTATATATTATGCAGGTATACTCATTTCAAGAATTCAGAATCCATTGTATACCATTTTTATTAATTTTATAAAATAAAATAAATAAATAATGTATAAGTAGTTACATAACAGCAATCTTGTATAATTGATTTATTTTATAACTTATAAAGGTATAATAATTTTACTGTTATTATTGTTTTAAAAGAACTTTTTTCATCGATTATTTTTCTCCTAATTAAACATTTACATAATTTCATGTGATATCTGTTATATTTAATACATTGTCCTCGTTATCATTATCAGCTCTTAGCAGTATGACTTTTTAAAAATATGTTGACATTTTGTAAGTATTAACAACATATTTTTCATAAGTTTTATGTTTTTTTTTTTTAGACAAGGTCGATATGCAATGAACAACAATAACATAAACATTATAAATTTTATTTTATTTTCCAGAAAAACTTGACTAATTCTTTAGTTGATTAGTATTAAAAACTTAACATTAAAATATATTTATACTTATAAGTAGGTATAACTAAAGCAGATATATATATTTTATGTATTATACATTTATAAATGAAATATAAATAAATAACACAGTCAACTTCAAACAATAAAAATGATTAAAATGTAGTATATTATGTAAATATCTACTCGCATTTTATTATTTTCGTTTATGTGTTTAATATATATATATATATATATATATATATATATGTGTGTGTGTGTATTGTGTATGAACATTCAGCAATTAATAGATAGGTATACAGTACGTTTGGCAAAATTAAAAATTCACCCCATCTTTCATAATCAATTATCTTCCTTACATTATATTACATAAGAGCGCTCTCTTTCAATCTGTCTAACTACAGCAGAACCGGGGACATATTAATTTGTTTCTATAATTAATAATAATAGTTCTTATAACGTGATCATCACTATTCACTATTCACTACTCCATTTGCAAACACAATACAAATGGAGTAAGTTAAGCAATTACGTACAGAGTGAGTCATAAATATTTTTAACCACGCACATTTTGCTGATTTATAAAAGTGCATACTGCATATTACGTTTTACATAGGTTATGTTAAACAAAAATGGTAATCAATATTAACATTAACGTCAACGTTTATTGAAGATTTATTCTATAGCGCACAAATCAATTTAAAACGACTAACAAAAAAAAAAAATTATTTAAAAAAATATATAAAAAATAACACAAATTATTTTGTCTTATTTGTGAGTAATCAATAAATGAAAATCCAATACATAATAGCAAGATAAGTTTATAAATATATCGTTTACCTTATGAGATGAAAATGTGTTTTAAAAGTAGTAGATATAACCAAAATAATTATTTGTGTATGTATACAGTCAAAATAGCTTGGAAATCAACACGCTAGCGAAAAGAATTAAAACAAGCAGTCGTTGACAATTTTCAGGCAATATATAATAGCTTTACATGCATGATGTGCGAAATGCGAAAATGATGTAACATAAAATACAGTATGTTCAATATACTATATAAGCCCATATTATAGCGTAAATATGAGTAGGGAATAAAAAAATAATAAAATGATTTCACCAGAAAAATCGCGACAGCTAATCTTCGAACATAACCTATAATATAATAATGATATATGTGTGCGTCACGACGAGACTAAGTCGTAAGTTCGCGTATTCGCATAAATACATATACATTTTCCAAGTCTTAACTCGTAATTTACAACATCAGCTATTCATTTTCTCCATCTCCAAGTGTAAAATAGCAAATTTGCATTCAGCACAACCAAACTTGTGTTATTGGTTTTATTATTGGAGCGAATTGATCAATTATCAATCTTATTGAGTTACGAACATTACGGGAGAGTTGTTTGTGCGTTGGCTTTTTTTTTACGATACTTTAATTTGGTTTTCTAGTTACGAGTAATGAGTATGTCGTATAAAACATTATATTTTATAAACGATCATACGCGCCACCGACGAAACGCAATAATCGTAAAAAAGCCAACGCATAAAAGCAGACAGTGTTTTTAACTCGAAGTCTGATGATTGGTAAATTTAATTTAAAATTAAAGCTAACGCGACATGAGATTGCGGTTCTACTGAACGCGAATTTGCTATGACATTATGTTGCGAGTATACATTTACGGACGCAACCTGCAGTCCTATGCGGATGCCGATGATTAAATAAAAATCTGCTGCAATCAATACCACAATCAATTAAATTAAATTTAATTTGGATTTTTAGATTGCGTTTACAATGGTTAACGAGCGCTGCAAGCAGAGCCGGATCTATCATTTTTTTAACCCGGGGCAAAATATGAAATTGGTGCCCTTTTATATCAATAACCTTTTTTTATTTACTTATTATATAATTAGAAATTTGTATCCCTTTGTGACTAGAGCCCCGGATTGTCCCCCCCCCCCCTAGATCCGGTGCTGGCTGCAAGTATGCTCGAAGTATCTGAAGCACGAATAATGCACGATTAACAACACATACCCTAGGGAACATGCCTTTGACTGATATTCGCTGAATATAATTTATTATCGTGGGAGGTATCGCTTTGTCAAGCTTAACACAATCATTCCGTACACGTATGACGTATTAACCACGACGACGACAATGATAAAAATGAAATTATTATTATGGTAATTGAACACGCGATGCGGTAAAACGTTGTCGTCGAATCGACGGCGGCAACCGTGGGTGATTATCGTACACTTAAAAATATTACAAAATATTATATTAATAATAAAAATAAAAAAAAAATGTAACACATAAAAAAGTATGATAATATCGTTGTGCCCGTGTGTGTGTACGTAGACGGTGGTGGAGGCGGTGTGTGAAAAGAGTAGGGCCGAGGCGCGGCGGTGTCCGTATCGCGGCGGACAACAACTGGTCCGGCCGGTCTCGTCGCCGCCGCCGCCCGTCACGGCAGGTCGCGGCGGCGGCGGCGACAGGCGGCAGCATTGTAATACGCGAGCGTCGCGGTCGTCGTCGGCAGCGAGCGGGAGCGACGACGGGGCAGACGTTCCGCCGGCCGACGCGCGAACCCGGTCAGTTGGGTTAGGTTAGGCGAGAAAACCAGTTGGCGCGGCGCTCGCACCACAATCGGTTTAAACGCACTAAATATAGTGTTTTATTATATTATATACCATATTGTATTGTATTCTTGTAAATTATTACGGTCGGTCGTCGCCACCACTGCCGTCGTCGTCGGAATCCGACGCCGTCGCCGCCGCCGCTGACAGAACCTCGCCGCGGGCTAGAGACACACACCACCGTGACCCCGCGGACCGGACGGGATTTCCATACACCCTCGACCGGCGTCGCGAGTGAGAGAGACGGAGAGAAAAAACGAAAATAACAAACACGGCGTGTGAGGAGCACCTGTTTTGACGATAGATCGTTCTTAACGGGTCCCTGGCAACGTTCTTTACCCCCCACCCCTCCCCTCGAAAATCCCATCGTCGTCGTCGTTTGCGAAACTCTGACAGCCCGTAAAACCGTGCGTGTATTGCTTCACGTCCGCTCGCCGCCGTCATCGGCTCGCCGATCGAGCGACATAAATCACGAGAGCACCGTAGGTGTCCGCGTACCGACCGTAAAGCGTAACAACGATAATAACAATAATAATTATTATTATTATTCAATCGTTCTTACCGCGGTAACAGTAATAGTGTTGTAAACCGCTTGCGCGATCGCCAGCGACGCCGCCGCCGCATGGCTCGTCTACCGGCCGTGGGGTGGTATTTGCTGCCGCTGTGTGCCACGGCCGTGGTCGTGTGCACGCTCAAGCACAAGCAGCAGCAGCAGCAGCAACAGCATCAGCAACAGACGAAAAAAGACGACCTATCCCTGTGGATTGACGAGCAACAAGTGAAAATGTACAGTGGTAAGCATCGGCAACTATTATATTATTATTGTTACGTAGTGTACACGCTCAGTTTTCAGCCGAATTTCAATGATTTTTATTTTTTTTTTAACTTGTTTTAAACATAATAGTAAGTACTGTTGAAGTACTTACGTAGATTATAACACGCGCCGTGTCGACATATGTTAGTTTGCAAACAGATCTGATTTTTAATGGGTATTTTTTCTCTTTATCGCCGTGTGATTATTTACTTTTCCGAGTGGCTGCAGCCTGTATGATATTTAATAACGAATTCTGAAGTAGAATATTTTCCTAATACATAACGGATACATGCATACATTGAATATTAAACCAATATTGGTTTCTTATTATCGTTCAAAGTTTAGATAAGACGCGGATTGAAGTGGCAGAACCGCAACATTGTATAGCTAGGAACACCCCTCAAAATTCTAGTACGGTTTATCTAAACTCTTAAGTGCTTATGAATAAGAAAAAAATGTTGTTTAAATGTTCGATACCACACATATATCGACATTTTCAGATAAATATTCTGTTTAAAAGTTGTCGTCGTTTTCGACTACAACTATTCAAATTCAAATCAAAACGTTATCGGTCTTATAATGTATTCAGCGATGGACGAATGTGGCATGTACAATGAAATCATTCTTTTTATAAAATATCATTTACGGTGTCCTATAAATTTTATCGTATATGTATTTAAAGGGGTGATCTTTTAATGTGAATACAGCATCTCATAAAAGGTTTATGAGAGTGATTTTTTTTTTTTGCTTTTACAGCTCATTTAGAGCTCTCACTGCTTCTACAATTTCTCGCCATCTTTCCCATTTTTCACTTTCTTCTATCTTTATCAAATCTGCTTTTAATCTAACCATCTATCTTTGTCTAGGACGACCTCTAGTTTCTCAATAAGTGCCCTGCTCATTCTATTCGTTTTCTTTTGATAAATGTTTTTATATTCGATTTTTGAAGATGGTAGATTTTCTCATTTTTTTTTTTTTTTTTGTTCAGAATTCTCCATTTTCAGATATTAGACCATAGATTCAACGGACTTTTCTTTCAAATATTAGTAATTTCTTTTCGTCTCTTTTTATTACCGACCGTGTTTCACAACCATATGCTTGGATTGGGCGTAGATAGCTCAAGTTTAAATTAATCTTTGAACTTATAGAGTGTAGTTAGTTAATTTATTTTATTTACTACCTTTTTAGAAAGAACCTTTTTTATCGAATCATACTATATAAGTGAGTTTAAAGGTAATGAACAACTTTTTTATCTCTTCAATTATTGTAGTTTTATCCCTTATGTATTTAATTTAAATTCACTTAACAATTTTTAAATTAGTATAGGTATATTCTATTGTATTAATGTTGAGTTGTCAAAAAAAGTATTTTTTCCAAACGCCCGATTACTAATGCAATAAAAATAATATCAGAACAACAATTTATTTAGTAAAATTATTTTAAACTTATGATTTCTTGAAGGAGAAAATGATAATATGTGTAATTATTTTTCCAAATAGTTTACATATTTTGTAATATATATGTCCATATATACTATACTTTATGTGTATAAAAATGTCGGTAAAATAATTTCTCTGATAGTCAAATATTTATTTGTGTTCTCTAAAGGTAATGATTCTCAAAATTTTTTGGTTAACGATAACCCTAAGGTTTATCTAAAAATTAATCTGGTCAAAATATTTAAAAATATTCCCTAAAATATAATTTATTGAATAACAAGTTAAGAAAAATGATTTCTTAAATAAGGCAAATAATTTAAAATTTATGCTACAAGATTTTTTTCAAATTTAAGTATTTTAAGTATTAAAAGAAATGTTAACTTATTAAAGAAAAACAATATATCGAAAACATATAATTTACTAAATAGGAAATTTAAATTAGTTGCAAATCATTGCCAGGTCAGTTAATAATATATGAACACTAATGTGAATTTATATTTATTATTAGTCAATCACGAAAAAAATAAAATAAAATTTAGCAGGGCGTAAAATAAATTTACACATAGGCTTATAGTGAAAAAATAAAAGGGCTTTTCCAATGTTAGATTAAGTCTTAGTAACGTCTATAGGCACCCTATAATTTAGTCTGTTAATCCTACATGCATGTACTATGGCTGTGGTAGTCGAGACACGCCTACACTTATACTAAAGTGTCGCGGAACATCGGTTTACAACCATTGGCATAAGGAAAGATATACGAATATACAAAAAATAAGATATTGTAATCGTATAACATAAAAAAATTTGTTATTTAAAAAACGTAGATTTAAAAAAAAAAGTTAATATTTACCGAAACATCGTTCTGTATGTTATGTTTATATCATGTATTATCCATTAAACATATTTCAGCAATACTTAAAACAGTAATAAAACTAATAAATAAATAATATCTAACATCCTAAATGATACGAGTGAAACCTGAATTAATTAATATTATCATTAATTTGAATTTCAAATTATAATATTTTTAAGAATTATAAATACAAAATTGTATTATAATTTAAAATATGAGTAGCTAGTAGATGTAGTATTAATAAAACATTTTTTTTCTCTAATTATTTTTATTAAGTTCTTCTGACATATTCGTCTTAACTTAATGTTGTAGAGATAAAATTTTTTTGAATTTATAACAATAATTATTTTCAATAAAAATATTACTAAAAATATATTATACATAGGTATGCTATTACGCTATATTATTAACTATTAATCACATTAATAATCACTTAAATTTTATCACGGTTATTGATTTATAATGATTTTGAATATTATTCAAAATATAATTCGAACTAGTCATAAAAACATGCCATAATATACTTTTTTAATATTTTATTTTAGCTCTGTCAAAATTCACTTTAAAAAGTATAAGTTTGTGTAAGTATCTACTTTGTTTTTACTTTGGTTTTTTTCAAGGAACTTTTTATAAATGTTCAATGAATAATAATACATTTTAAAACGAACATGAATACAAATATTTTTAGAAGTTATAGTAGGTACATTATAATATAAATATTATGTATACTATACGTTTATAGTTTATACAGTATAGGTATTAGATATACTAGTTACAATTTTTTAATTATATTCATGTACCAATAAGCAATAAATATTTTTCAAGGACGCACATTTAAAAGTTGAATACAGAAATAATTGTTTTTTGTCTTTTAATCCACATGAATTGTTCTTAATAATAATAATAATGTTATTTATCAAAAGAATTGTAATTACAATTTTTATTTAAACAATACAATGTTATAATGCATACATATAATTGTAAACACATGCCTGTTGTACATATCATGGATAACTATATTATTCAAGATATACTAATGATTGAAAATATAACACTTAAATTCATATTTTTTATATTTTCGATTGGCTGCTTTATTTTTTTTATATTCGTTCTTTGATACTTAAAAAAAAATTTTATTTCTCGACAAGCTTATTTTCAATTAAATAATTCTTGCTCTTATTAACTTAAAATCCATTTTTGACTCATTCATTTAAAAAAAATCTTTACATATTTTCTTTAATTCTACTTATTATCTAAAATGTAAGCTCGTGTATTGTATCATAAAGTTAATGACTAACAAAGATTTTTCATCATATTTCAATGCCATTATTAAATTTGTTGTTATATTGAATAATTATTAGCTAATATTAGTTACATTTTTTTATTGGGTGCCAGTACGTACTAAAAAATAAATATTTATTATTAAACAATTATTAGATATAGATATCAATAAATTATTATTAATAATCAAAAATCATTTTTTTGTTGCTGATTTTTGCTTAAATCCTTTATATATTCAATTCCTCAATATTCAATATTTATAAATATATTTTATTGAACAATAATTAGTTAGAGTCTAAAAATATTTAAAAGCTTATGAAACAACAATTACTTCAATTATATTAAAAACATGTCATTTATTTAAACCAGTATAATATTAAATAATTAAATGAGTCTTATAAGTGCTAAGAATAAAGATTACCTATATAAAAAAAAGTAATAAACACAGTAAAATAAATTCAAAAATGTTAATAACAAATTTTATTCAGATGATTCAGTGCATATTAATTTCGTTCCGAATTTTATTTAATAAAAAATAAGTTGAGTCCGGATAAAAAAAAATCAAAACTATACATAGCTTACTTACGTCTAGACCCCAGTACCAATACATTTTTTATATATTAAATAAAAATCGATTGCTTGAATGTACTTCTTTAATACACTAACATACCTACGATGTATCCGTTTTTTGCTTAGTACTAATTTGAACTGAGTAAAAATACTGGTTATTTATAATAGCACTTTAACAAAATATTTCATAGAATATTTAGTCATTACATACAATTTAATTTTGATTCCTATTAAAATAGTAGGTATATTAAATATATACCTATATACTTTGTTAAATACAAATACTAGAAATATTAATATGTATTTATACACAGCATATTATAAATATATAGAACAAATAACGGCTACGATATCAACCTTATCTAATGACTGAAATATTTATGTTATATAAGTACCTACAGTAAAATAACAAATTGATTTAACGCTATGCAGCCATATACTCGAATTTAATTATATCGTGATAATTTTAAAATAATACATAATATTTTATGTGTCTGTTAATTTTTACTTAATTATTGGTGAAGTTTCCTATTAGTTATTATAAAAACATTCAAGTAAATGTACGTAACTAAATGATAAATGATAAGCTTTAAAAACACTATTTTCAACTATATAGTTTCTAAGAGTTGGTGAATAAATGAACATGAGTGTCTTCACAAATAATAAAATATTATTATTTATTAACAACTAACATATATTCAACTTTTATTTAGAAATTAAATTAATTATGAGCCATTTAAGTGTTAAACATTATTACCCTATTGTAACAATGAACAAGTAATTATTATAATGTGCATTCACATTAGGTACAAAAAAAATTAACTCATAGATTTTATTACTTTCTAACATTATATCATAAAACTTAAAAAATATTACTGAATTATTATTGATCAACACGAAATAACGTATGTTTTGTAAAATTTGGACCTTTTACAGTTTATTATATTGGTACAATTTAGGACACCAGTACACCACTGTTGTAATGTTTTTATTTTGATATTTGTTAAACTTATTATTGATTGAACATATATTGCATAAATGTTAACTTCAAACAAAAAAAATCTTATTCAAATTACATTAGTATTTTATATTTATAATATTTATGTCCTATAAATTATAAAATTTTGTTTAAGACAACAATAATATGAAAATCTTTTAGCCTAATATAATTTTTTCCATTTTTTTTTATTTTTTTTTAAATTCTTTAGATTACGAATATCGACATATTTTTTGTCACATTATACCTACCTACACGATAAACTCATTCACATATTAAATTTCAGGCATTTAAGTACCTATTAAGATAATAATATACATCGGATTTATTTATATTAAACTATTCCTCAAGTAATAACTAATCATATATATTCTGGTATCTTACTCATTGATCATAGTTCATCTTGAAAACTGCATGTTTAAAAATTGCTAACACATCAATAAAAAAATAATCATAAAAAAAAATAACAATACTGATTCAGGTGTTGGTCTATCATAACACTTTTAGGTGCAACACTATAATGTATGAATAAAATAAAACAAAAGTTATTTTTATAATTTATAGATTATTTTGATTATTAAATAGATTAAATGAGTATGGCGTAACATATTATGTTGATTTTAAGGGGGCGTAGCCTATCACGAGTCACGAATTGAAGAATAATTTAAATCATTGCCCCCTCGGAAATTATTAGCCACATTTAATGATCATCTAGAACTGGATTAAAAATTTTGTGAATAATAATAAAATGAACTTGGAAGTATGAAAATTAAATTTTTAATCTAAGTTTAAAAGATAAGTTTATAGATAGGTAGCTTAACAAAAAATAATTTCTCATTTTTATTTTAAAATATATTAATTTATTTATTTTTAATACTTCAAATAAAATGAAAAAAATACTTCTACTAAATATAATTTATTGATTATTTGAATATGTTAATACTAATAAATTAATTTTAAACTAGGTACTTATATAATATTTTATATAAAAGTATATTTTTAATTTAAAATTTTAAAATATCATTTAATATCTAATAATCCTATAATTATATCCAAAGTTGAATAAATCTATGCACATTGCACAGACATACATTTTACAAACGTATATAAATAAATGTGTACTTACTAGTAATATTTTTAGTTAAGAAGTTAGAATCTTTAGAATATAATTATATAAATGATTATGATACTATTACAATGTATACATTGTGTTTCGACGTACCTAATTATTATAATACCTAGTACAGGTGTCATAGTTTTATAAACCATGCATATAATATATCATTCATATTTTAATATTAATCAATAATTAGTAAATACTATAAAATAAATTACTGTCTTATAGAAGAAAAATCGTAAGCACAATGTAAATTTAATTTAAAATAGTTTATTAAGTATATTTTAATAGCATTAAATTTGATTTTTGGGTGTGCAACACTATAGATTAACAATTAAGTTAAATATTTTAAAATAAACATTTATAAAGATAGGTAATATAAATACATAAATGTTAATTGCCAAAGTCTAAAACGACGCCCTTTATCAAAATGCCGAAATGGAAACAGATAGTTTTGTATAAGATGTTTTAATTTTAAGTACAAATAGTAATCAAATTTGATTTGATTTGCATATAAATTAAGTTGGATAAAATTCAAATCTTAAAGCTATTGCTTAATAATAATATTTACCAAAAAGTGAATATCCCAAATAATTAGTTCAAGTGATTTATACGTCTAAGAATAATCTAAAAACACATTAATGCAACCATCAAGTATTATTTTTTCAGGTCTAAAAATGCCAATATATGCAATTATGGAAGGTAAAGTTACTCCGTATATTTTGGACAAAAATTTTGAACAGTATTTACCAGTTATTCCATCTGAGGTAAGCGACAAGCATTATGAAATATTACTATTGTTATTCCAAATGTATATTTACGTTTAATCACATACAGGTGGGTTATGTGAACTTCACATGGATGTCTGGAAATAAGAATTATTTTTACATGTTCGACACTCTAGATTCAGATGACAAAAACATACTGGAACCACCTACAGTTACTGTGAAAACCGATGGTAAAATACCCAAGAGACCTAAAGGTAAAATACATTTTTAATATGATATATACTAAAATTCAATTTTAATTCTAATTTTTATAACTATAAACTAGGTATACGTATTGTATGCTTTTAAAATACTCTAAAAACATAACAAATTCTTAGTTTTATGAACTATAAAATTAAAACTGCTGTTACCGCGTGTTAAAGATGTAAAACCTTTGAAATATACCTAACAATAGTAGTAGTAGTAGTATTAGTATATATAAAATACAATCAGTGCCGCAACTGATATACATGAAGTATACATGCAGATGGTTAACGCACCCGTTTAATGGACCTCCAATTTATATACCAAGACATTAGTTTTTATACCATATAAATTCTCAACGAATCTTGTACAATAATTATGATATAAAACGTATAAATATTTATTTATGACGTTTTAAAAGCATAAAAAATTTTAAAAAAAAATGTTACCTATCTAACAAAGTCCTATTATAAGAAATTATATAAACGGTGTGAAACATCATTAAAAAAAAAAAAAAAAATGAGAGTATTTAATAGTATACTATAATTTAGTAGTCTGACCAAAATACAATTTATTGTATAATATCCATTTATGAATTCATATAAGAGTGAACAGAAAATTAACGTTTTTACAACACCTGATGGCTGATACCACTTTTAAGTTCAAAATAAAAAAAAAAAGTGCGCAAGTGGGTACCGCTCTGTCATACAATAGATGTCGAGTGGATCATTGTGGTGGATGGTTAAATTTGAATTCTTAAAAAATAATTTATTTTATTGTTTGAATAGAAAAGGTTAAATTAATTGCTGTCGAAAATATTATGTTTGAGAAGTCAATATTATATAATATTATATAATACTATAATATACATAAATGATAAAAGCGTTATGATAACAACAATGTTTAAATTTAACGTTTATTCAAACAATAATGAATATTTTTTTTTTTTATTGAATTATAACAAAATAATAAATATATTCATTATAATATGAATTTTTTTATTATTTAACTTCGTCCGAGTTTGAATTTATAATGTTTAAAAAAATGTATGCTTCTACATATTTTTTTTTAGATTTTTTAGTTTCAGTATGAAATACTTATAAGAATATTTATACTCAATTTTAAGCCTAAGTTATAAAAATTGTACATTTTATAAATTTTCAACAAAAAAACAACCTACAATTAATAATATACGAAAAAAAGATATCAACAAGTATCAGCAGCATACTTTGATAGTAAAAAGTGATTTATTTAATAGTTAATATAAGTTTTTCCACGATGTTTTTTGTTGCAAATATAGAAGCACTATTCCTTAGAATATTTAAACCAATCTAATCTTTTTTTCTTCAAAATCATAGTTACATAAATTACTTAGAAATACATTTTTTAAGCATTTTCCAGGATAAAATTAAGGTTTTTAATATTTTTTAATGAAATTTAATAAGTGACATGCCCTATTATAATATGTCCGGTACTTCTTTATACAATTATTATTACCAATACAGAATACGTACATAAACCTCATCAAATGTGATACGTTTCATTGTCAGATAACTATTATGTGTATCACTATCATTTATCAGTTATCAGCTGCTTCAAACTTTAATAAAACGTTTTTCCCAAAATATCTTGATGCACCATCCTTCTAGTATCGATATTGGACACTATGTCATCGATCATGACTGTGTGATGCTGCAGATAAAACAAACCTTAACGCACAGACGAAGATATAAAATGTACCTGTCTTTATATCATACAGTTACAAACATGGAATACTGGGTACATTAATAACATATCTCAGTTCATGATATTATAAAAAATATCATCGGTTCAACTCCTCGAGACCTGCTATTGCACATTTGCACCTTTGATTCTTTCTTCGTAGTTTGCTTTTTTGATTATTTATAAGACAACATTCCCTATTGTTGAAAATACTTGATCACGTCACTGGTAATTTATCAAATATTATCAACTGCCAGGCGGGTTGGTAGGGGCGTTATTTCAGGTTTTTTTTAGGTGTGCGAGGTTTTAAGCAGGCCATTTTGAAATTTCACCAGGCCATTTAAAATAGTCAATAGATATACGTATATGTACACAATCTCATAATCCTGCTTTCAATAATTTCCATACATTGCATGTGCTAAAGTATTGCATCAATATAGATGGAAAAAATCAATTTAAAAACTAAAATATAACAAATAATTAACTATCATAATAATTGAGAGTATACCAATATTGATAAATGCGAAAATTAAAATTAAAATACCATTTAAGAAGTTTTAATTTTGAACATTATCTCAGCAGGACGCAGAATAATTAGTGCTATTTTAAAAGTAAAGGGTGCAACCGCAAACCCTGATTCTCCCTTAAATGACGCCTCTGCATAAGTTGAAATTCCAGAAAATAATGAGCATAAAAAATAGTAAAAATATATAATTTTTCTTTTTTGACGACCTACAATCACCTGTAGATTTTTTTTTGTTAAGAACCTAATAATTCCTCTTTTTTAAAGTGTAAGGTGTTTGTAAATTTGTTTGAAACGAGCTATACACTGATTAGTGGAATGTCGCTCTGCCTTTTAATGTATAACTTATTAATTTGATTTTCGAAAAATTTATGACAAAAGCCTTAGAAAAATCTTTTTTTATAAAAATCATATTTGATGCACAAACTAGGTGAAGGAATAAGTTTCGAATTTCGAAACTTTATATTTTTTATTAGCAGGAACGGTCCCGTATCGTTCCGCGTAATGGAGAATGTAGATGCGGGAAACGGAAAAATCTGAAGTTAATTAAAGTATGGATTACCGTGGAACACTGATGCAATGATTATAATGAATTTCAATAATCACCATTATCACAATATTTTCGACGTGTGATAATAAGAGACACACGAGGCATGAGGGAAAACGGTATGTGTGCACACAACGCATAACTGTACGACACTATCGGTGGCTGACTATGAATATAATTTTGCCCGGAAAAACTTTTTACCAATCCTGAACGTCTTAAGTGTAAAATACATATTTAGCGATTCTTATTGGCGTACACTTCAATACTTGTTTTGAAGTCTTATGTCGTCCTCCAAAGAGTAATTACTGAACTAAAAAAACTTGAATTTTGCGTTCAAAAAAAAAAAACGGGACGTACAATGATACCATTTGAATAATAAAATTTACGTATACACATAGATACTCACCTGTCTTCACTCTTCAACATCCACATCGTTCAACATGTTTTGCTGCCTCAAAGGCAGTAACGAATCTAATCGTTACGCATATAAATCAATATATTATGTGTGTACGAAATACGAATGACCTACCATCCACTGTCACGACTTGTCGAGAAAAATCCGATTATCGCGCCGGCATAGTCCGGAGTTACAGAATACGTTTTTCATAATCTTTCGTAAAATTATTATACTTGTACACATAGTAGGTACGGCGGCGTACCCAATAGGTCTGTTCAGGCTCATCTAACTCCAGACAGAAAAATCGTAATGACATTATTACTGTTATCATCACAAAATTGCGTTACTGCTGTGAAAATATAATATTTCGATACGATTAATTTATATTTTATTTCATCTGCGATATCGTTTCACAAATATCTCGTTCGGCAAATCATTCGCGTGGCTATTGTCCGTCAATGCAATGCTACTACCGACTATCGTTCTATATTTCGGCCAAAAACTGGCGCGGCGTGTCATCGCAAACAACGACAAAAACGACAATATCATGAAAAACCATTTTCAGTTCTGTTTCGGTCGACCGACCGTCCGGTTCGGTTCACTTTTTCGGTCGGCAGGTTGACGAGAACGACCGGCGATGTGCCCATACCGTCTAAAGCGCTCGACGCAGATGCGACTCGCAAGGGTTCCCGGCCGGCTTTTCTGCAACACGGAAATTCGTACGACTCGTAAAGGTCGCGACTCGAATACAAAACGTGGCGCCGACACCGAAAGCCACTGTCAAAAGTCTGTTACACGATGAGCTGCATAAACGTTGCCGTGATCCACGTTCAGACGTGTTCCTCTGTGTGTACACTCGCAATGGCCATCGGTTCACCTCTCGTTTCACAACACCCAGTGCAGCATACGTCATTGTTATTTATACGGAAACGCGTCGAACTCAAATATTTTCTTAGACTTTAATTTTATTACTCAGCATTTTGAAGTCCGTTCAACCGCAATAGATCCTAGAATATAAACTGTTGTATTGAAGCATTGCATACTTGATTGTATATATTCGAATTCGAACTTCAATTCTTTGCAAATTTCGAGTTGTTAGTTTTTCCTCAAAGTTCGAGGCATTCAAAAACCCGTATTCGTATAAGTAGGTACATGCAAAGTACATCGTTCAAAATTCTTTTCACTATTTCGAGAACCAACTCACCGATGCACAAGCCCGGATTAAGGGGGGGCAGGAGGGGCCAAGTCCCCGGGGCCTACGTGTGTTAAGGACCCATAGTTTTCTCGGTTTAAAATTACATTAAGTGATAATTTGTACTTTTTATAGTACCTACAAAAATATTTTTATTTTTTTTTTGTTTGAGCTAACAGTCGATGGGACCCGTCGACCGTGTTTACCACCAATAGTATGGTAAGTGGGAAAACATAGCGTCATAGCCATGTTTGTGTTTGTTGGGAATAGGCATATATTTTGATATTACTGTATTTAAAAATAGAATTGGAAAAATTTGTTTATGTGACTGTCTCGGTCATGGATACTCATAATTCAGATACCTATCGACTAAAACTAAACCTGTTTACATAAACAAATCATAATTTTATGTGTAAATATATATTTTAGTAAAAATATAATATTTTTTTAATATTTTTATCCTCATCAATCGTTATCACTTATCATACTTAAATAAAAATGTTTAAATTTGTTTTATTGTATAATTTTATAATTTTAAAAAATTGTTTTTATTGACGGGGGCCCACAACCATGTATTGGCCCCTAAAGCTCTTGATCCGGGCTTGGGCCATGCATATATATAGTGTTCCG